GAGTCGGTATCGACTCGATGGCAGCTAACAACAACAAAATTTGGTGGCGATGTTCCGTTTTGTTTTTGTTTTTTGCTGCGTCAGAGCCCCTAAAATGGCCGCTGACAAGAAAGCCCGAAAACAAGCATCCACACGCTGCTGGCGCCTCCGCCTTCCAGAGGCGGGAGGGGTGGGGCGGAGTCTGGAGCGGGGACCGCCCCCAGGCTGAGTGAGGCGGGGCTCGCTTCCTGAAGAGGGTGGAGACTCGTTCGGGCCTTGCCCCACCCCCACTCTGTGCTCCCCGGAAGAGGTCCCAGCCGACCTCCCTATAGGGGGCGGGGTGGGGCCGGAGACGCAGCTCAGGCCGGCTTCCAACCGTTAACCGGAGAAGGAACGGTCCTCCGGGTGAGAAGCGGAACCTAGTTAAAAACGGAACTTCCGTTCACGGAGGGCGTAGCCTGGAAAGTCCCCCCCACTTTTCTCTTCCGGCGCGTCAGGCGGTGGGTGTGGCCTGGGAAGTCCCTACCGAGCACGCTCCCTTTGTCTTAGGTGATGGGCGTGACCTGAAAAATTCATACTTAGTGACACTAACTCACGGCGACCGTAAGAACAACAGGGCCACACTGTCTGGTCGTGCCCTACCCTCAGAGTTGTTACGCTTGAACCCATTATTGCTAATACTGTGTTAATCCATCTTCCTCCTAATCGCTGGTTTCCAACCACGGTCAGTATTTTCATTCTCATCTCCAGGGGACTGATCCCTCGCGACAAAAGTGAGACAAGTCGCGCCATCCTTCCTTCAAAGCAGCACATTGTACGTCTTCCAATATAGGGTTTTTGTGTGTCTGTTTTTGGTAGTCCTTGGTATATTCAATGTTCTTTTCCAAGTCCATGATTCAAAGGTATCCTTCAGTTCTCAGAAGAAAGACCTGGTGATCCAATTGCGTGTAGTCAGGCATTGAAAGCTCTGTGGAGCACAGTGGTACTCAAATCCACCTGTGGGGGCCACGAGTAGGCGTTTCCTACGGCAATGGTTTTACGTATTTAAACTACTGTGTTTATCCCTATAGGAGAACAAAGAGACAGCGCTCAGCAGACTGAACAAGTAAGCTTGTCTTGCTGTCTCCTGCCCCCCTCCTGATTGCCATCCCTAACTACCATGTGATCTAGGGGTCCAGCACCTTTGGTCACCTCCACAACAGGAAGTGGGGGCCACCAGTGGGTAATTAAAGTGCAGAATTCCACTCCCCAAGAAAGTGCCCGTCCGAAGAGAAGTGTGCTGGTTTCATTTGTAGCGTTCCCAGTGCACACTTTTTAACACGCTTCATTCTAGACAATGTAAATGTGGGGAAAAGGAACAAAAGATACATAACACACGATTCCACCACACAATCATATTTTTCTAGAGACGACACTGCCAAGGCTGACACTCGCTACTTACTGAGCTTTCTCCAAAACCATCTTTGATTAACCAGCAGGAGGATAGGAGAAACCTAAGTACTTTTGGATAGACAGAAATATACACATGCACAACGGTCTAAAATACACTATACTACTTAAAATTAAAAACAAAAACAAATTGTGTTTTGGGCAAAGGTTTACACAGCAGTTTAGGTTTCCAGTCAATTTCTACACAAAATGTTGAATGATGATGGTTACATTCTTCACAACTGGTGATAATTCTCAATATTTCCATTCTTGTCTTGTTTCCATTACTCTAAGTTTCCCTGACTCTTTGCATTCTGATGTTTGTTTTAAAGTAATTGTTGACCTTTTGGTCACATGTTTTGTTTTTTAAAGGGGTGATGTTATTTTGTGAGACCAACTGTTATTTAGTTACAAGGTACCTCAAGGACTAGATTCGGGTCAAAGTTTAGAGAGTATCTGAGGGCGATGCTCTCAGGGTTTAGAGAGTATCAGAGGGTGATGCTCTAGTCTCAAGTATTTGTGTATGTGAAGACTTGAGGTTCCAATTCCCCCACATCCTGGTCAACATGGTTATTTTCTGTTTTTTTTTGTTTTTGCTTTTGTCTTAGTCACCCTAGTATGAGTCTAATGGTATCTCTTTGTAGTTTTGATTTTCATCTCTCTGGTGTGGCACTGTAGAATAAGCACTGGACTGTGAACCAAAAGGTCAGCAGTTCAAATCCACCAGTCGCTTCTCAGAAACCCTATACAGGGTCGCTATGAGTTGGAATCGACTTGAAGGCATTTAACAACAATAAGGAGCTCTGGTAGCGTAGTGGTTACGAATCGGGCTGCGAACCTTAAGGTCAGTGGTTTGAAACTACCAGCCGCTCCGCTGGAGAAAGATGAGGCTTTCTACTCCTGTAAAGATTTACACCCTCGGAAACCCTGTACAGGGTCGCTATGGGTCGGAACCAACTCGACGGCACTTAACAACAACAACAAAGTAGTCTGAAAGAGCCCTGGTTGTATAGTGGTTACAAATAGAGCTGTGAACTGCAAGGTCAGCAGTTAGAAATCACCAGCTGCTCTGTGGGAGAAAGATCAGACTTTCTGCTGCCATGAAGATTTGCAGCCTCAGAAACCCTGTACAGGGTCACTAGGAGTTGGAACTGACTCGGTGGTACACCACCACCAATGTAGTCCCGGTGTGGTACTGTAGGATGACCACTGGACTGCTGACAAGGCTGAAGGTTCAAATCCACCAGCCATGTCTCAGAAGCCCTATACAGGATCACTGTGAGTAGGAAGTGATGCAACAGCACTTAGCAATCATGGGAAGTGACCCTGAGTATCTTCTTGTGTGTTTAGGGACCATTTGAATGTCCTCTTTAGCAACATGTCTAGTCAAGTCTTTTTTGCCCATCTTATAATTGGGTTGTCTTTTTCTTATCAAAGATATATATATATATATAGGTTATTAGATTTTTGTCAGGTATATACTTTCCAAAGTTATTCTCCCAATTGGTACCTTGTCTTTTGACTTTGTATTTGAGGAACAATTTTTTTTTTTTTTAATTTTTAGGAGGTCTCAGTTACATCTTTGTCTTTCGCTGTTTGTGCTTTTGCTATGCTACTAGTTACAAGCGAGGTCTGACAGCTCTGCCCCTGGTTGTTCCCCTAAGAATTGCATGGTGTTAGCTTGATTATTAAGAGCCTTAAACCATTTTGAATTTGTTTCTGTGTCTGGTGTGAGACAAGTTCCTTACATGTGGCAGTCCAGTTTTCCCAGCACCATTTCCTTTTATCCTTTGGAAGAATTTAAACAGTATTAGTGTTCCCTCTTATCTAAATGCTCAGTGTAACTCCTCAGTGAAGCCATATGGTTCAGAACATTTTTGTTGTCCTTAGGGAGTTTCTGATAATTGACTCATTCTCCTCACTGTGAGGGGTCTGTCGATACATTGTTTCCTCTTGAGTTTGGGTAAGTCTTGTCCATTTCACCCAGGTTAAGGCAGTGTGTTGCCACCGGTGTTAATACCATTGTTACCATTCTCCTCATTTCTGGTGAGTCCCTGGGAATGTACCCTGTCCTTTTCTACTTGGGTAGTTTTCCTGGTTTCTCTTTGCTTTGTCAGTATAGTTAAAGGTTTGTGAGTTTTCTTGATCTTTTCAGAGAATCAACTTCTGGTTTCATTGATGCTATTGTTTTGTTTTTATTTCTGCTGTGATCTTTGTTGTTTCCTTTCCTTTTCCTAGGTTTAGGCTTGGTTTGCTCTTCTTTTGCTAGTTCCTGGAGCTGCATACTGCTTCTGTGGTAGGTAGGCATGTATGTGACATTACTGTGTGAGTTCCCTCAGTCGATTTGGTAGGTTGTGCTGTCATCTTCATATGAGGGAGACATTTGTGATCTTTTTTGACCCATTGGTTTAATGTTGTAAAGTGCCCTTGAGTCAGTTTTGACTCATAGCGACCCTGTATAGGGTTTCTAAGAAGCAGCTGGTGGGTTTGACCGCTGACCTTTAGGTTCAAACTGACTTTGCAGTCCTCTGCTTATCCTACAGCACCACCTCAGAACTCCTTTGGTTTAATAATGTGGAGTTGCAGGATAATGCACTGGACCACAAGGTTGGCAGTTCAAACTCACCAGTTGATCCTCAAAAATCCTACACTGGGTCACTGGGTTGGAACCAACTCAACAAACCGGAACAGGTTTCTCACTGTTACTGATTTATAGTGTCACTCTTTTGTCAGAGAAAATACTCTAAATGACTTCAGTCTTTTTTCTCGACTGGATTTGTGACCGAAAATGTGGTTTATCCTGGAGCAGAGTATTATTTTAGGGGTGAAGTGTTTTTAGATAATCTGTTAAATCTAGTTGGTACATAATCATTCAAGTCTGCAGTGTCCTTGTTGATCTTTCTAGGTGTTCGAACATTGAAAGTAGTGTAATGAAGTCTCATAACTATTGTTGTGTTGGCACATGCTGTAGAGCCGGTTCTGACTCATGGAACCCTGTATAGGGTATCCAGGGAGGGGCTGCTGGGTTTGAACCACTGACCTTGCAGTTGGCAGTCCTTCTCCTACAGCGCCCCTAATTACTGTATACTACATATTTTTCCCATTCTAGCAGTTTGTTTCATACACTTGGGTTCCCCAATGTTGTGTGTATATTCCTCCAGGAGGCTTCAGAAAGTTTGTGGGGAAAATTCACTGACATTCCATCTTTCCAGAAGGAGTCCAGCAGCAGAGTCAGTGGTGATGGGGGAGAGAGCTGAACAACACTGCTCTCTAGGCTGAGAGTCAGCAGTGGGGAGGCTGATGTCAAGAAGGCCAAAGGCAGAGGGAGCCGCCGAGAGGAGTCCTGCCCTGAGGAAAGGAGAGATGCACTGTCTTCCAGGGAGCCTTCCATACCTTGCCCACATGCCTCCTGCTCCTAACCCTGGTGCACTGCCAAGATGGCCTGGAATTACGTGTCCCTGTTACCAGTGGATCAGCAAGCCTGGCAGAGAAGCAGAGCCTACCGTGGGGAGGAGAGCTGGTGCCAAACAGCAAAAAGTTGAGCTGATTACGAGTCTCATTATCCCCCTGAAATGACAGCTTCTGGAGTGCCCTCAGGTTTTACAAGTATTGTTCAAGAAAAACATCATTCCAGATATAAAAAACAGGAGCAGTGACAAATGCGCATCCTTCCTAGAGCTCCTGAGACTGAAGGAAAGGCACCAGTTGAGTGCCTACAACCTGCCCTCCCGTGATGAGGCATCATTGCCTTGCAATCAGGGCCCAGACAGCCAGTGAGAAAAACAAGGCTGCCTGTTTCCATAGACTTACAGCCTCGGAAACCCCAGAGGGCAGTTCATCTGTCCTAGAGTTGGCAGTGGGTTTCCTCTGGTTACGTGCACTGATTAGGATCAGCACTGGACTGTGAACCACAAGGTTGGCAGCTCAAACCCTATCCAGGATCACTGAGTGGGAACCAACTCCACCTCACTTAACAGTCATTGCTGCCGACATTAGACACACCTGTTGAGTGTTGTCACACGGAGGCATGGTTTCACATCACCCCATGGATCTCATGATAGCCTGCCTGCTGATTTCAACACCTCCCTAAACACCATCCTTCATATACAGATGATGATGCTTGCATGGGGAGGACAGGGCTCACGTCCATCTGCCAGGCGTGTTTCTGAAGACACTGAGGACACTTGGGTTTGCTGTGGCCCTAATCTGACTTCTGATTTTTCTCCACTTTCTTCTCTGGTCCAGGGAACAGAGCTTCTGAGGACACTAACTTGGCCCTCCCACTTCGTTGTTCCCTATGAAATCTGTTGAGTCTACTCTTGGGTTTGCTTTTGAATTCCAGACAAGGTCTGAAATGCCCACTGAGTGTGAGGAAAATCCAAGAAGACATCATCTGAGGGCCACGTTTTGTGTTCCGTCCTTCTGGATGAACACGGGGTTCTGGGAGAGGTTACTCATCACTAGGACTTGGTTCCATGCTCTTCCTGGGGTGACTCTCACAACTGATGTCTGGAAAGCTCGGGACTGCACTTTTCTGTATGACCAATGGAGTGTCTGCACTGTAGGAAACACGATGTATGGAAGCGTCATGATTCATTTACCTGAAACCCTAGGACAAGCGCATCTCCCGTCCACAGCACAGGTCAGTGGTTTCTGGGCCTCGGGAGCAGGTGAGCGGGCCGGGGGGACGTAAACGGTGCGGATCCTGTGGCAGTGACAGTATGGGCTCAGGGGTTCCTTTATTGTTGGCAATTGATACCTCCGGGAAGCTGACTATAGAAAACCATGCCAGATGGCTCAGCCTTTGAAAGGAGACATATGGAGTGACTAGGGGACCACAAGACCACAAGAGGGAGCATCTTCCAGGCCTCAGTAGCATCCCACGTTCCTGCAGACACAGGCTGTCACCAGCCAGGAGAGTACTCCGCCTTCCCTGAGAAAGACCCTCTTAACCAGCCAGGCCAGAGACCCTGAGACAGAAGAATGGGGTCCTGTCACCTGGAGAACGAGGACACATTAGGATGGGGTCCTACCAGTCCTCCTGAGGAGGTTCCTGTGGCTCGTTGTGTGGTCAGACTGGGCCCAGCTACCCTAATGTGCCTGGGGCAGTGGGCACCAGGAGACCTGGCTTTCTTGTCTGGCGGTCGAGGTACCCCAGGTTGAGGTCCTCAAGGACAGCCAGGGTGCTCAGGATGCTGTGAAGCCTCACACCCCAATGCGCCCCTCCCTCCATTTCCACCAGAACGAAGACCCGTCATGTCCAGGGAGTCATGTGTCCAGTCTGGGGACCCACCCTGCGTGCTAGTTCCTGTCGGCTCCCCGACTGGGCACAGCAGCTCGGAGCCAGGCCCTCTTCTGTCAAGAGATGCGCCCAGTCAGGGTGATGGAGCCCTTCTTCATCGCACGGTAGGCCTGTACCACCCGCTCTCTCTCTTCCCCCAGGATCCGCTGCCGGGCCAGCGAAGCGCTCAGAGGCTGGGACCCTGGGCCAGGGCCCATGAGCATCTTCAACATCAGTGACTTCTTGCCAGGCTGAAGGAGAGAGAGGTGAGAGATTCGGGGCCTTGGTGAGGACAAATGTGCACGCCATCTGTCCACAGGCCCTACAGCAATGACACCCCAATGAGGTGGCAGTCACCTATCACCCTCCACGGCCCCCGTGCTTACCTGTCCCTTGCCCTCGCTCTTCTTGGGCCTGGCAGTTAGCTCTGGGGGCTGCAGGGCAACCTCCCCAAACTTCACCGTGTCTAGGGACCAGATAGTGCATATAAGTACAGGGGTACTCAGGATGTGGATGGACCCACTGGTCCATCTAGTGCCTATGGGAGAAAGGTGTGGGCAGCACAGGGCTTCACCCAGGGCACCAGCCCCCAGGACCGGGAGCCCCTACCTCGGAGTAGCTCCTGCTCCAGTCTGTCTGCTGCCTTGTCCGCCTTCATCTGTCGGGCTTTATCCAGCCGCCGCTTCTGGAACCTGGGCAAGAGACCCCACAGCATTCACACATGCTCACTGCGCCAACTCCGGGTACAGCCAGGAGTGGAGTGAGGGCCCATTCTAGCCAGCTGCCACCACATCCACTCCCCACCACAGCCGCCATCAGGAACGTACTGATGCCTGCAGGCCCTGTCTACCGTCCACACCTGGGGCTTTCTGGGGGGCACTAAGCAACGCTGGTGACAATGTTTGGTTGTTACAAAGAGGGTTGTGGAGAGGCATCTGGTCCTGTGTTGCTAAGCACTGGACAGAGGACAGGACAGCCCATAGTACAATGATCGCCACTGTGTCCACAGTACCGCTGCTGAAAAACCTGCTCTGAACCAGCCTGCAAGTGCCGCCCTTTGTGTGACTTGGGAACCTTCAGGTCTCCTGACAGTCTGGGGAACCCAGGGGCGCTCCAGGCTTTGGGCTCTATCCGGAATCAATTTCCTGAGGCGCAGTGACAACTTCATCAGGAATTCAGGCTCAGAAAGACTACAAAGCTGGAGGTGACCCAGGACCGTGACAGTACTTAGAGTCAAACAGTGGGTTCTATAAGCTGGGGCTGTTTCCCCTGAACCTCTGGGCAAAGCTTGGGCTGGCTGGTCCCCAACGTTGCAGGAAGCCCATTTTCTGAGACTAAGCCGTGGCTCCCAAGGTGACAGTTCTTCCTGGAGGCTGTGGGGGTGCCAGGCAGCGTCCTCTGAGTGTGGAACAGCAGCCTTAGGAAGTTTCCAGGAAGGCATTTGAGCCCCGAGACCATCCTAGGCAACAACTACTGTCACCTCCATGGGTCAGAAACCAATGCTGGGGTGCAGAGACAGTGGGGAGCCCGTGTAGACGTCACAGCCAAAATCAAAGTCAAACTTCCTCCATACCAGGAAACCGACCTACAGTGCAGGGCTAAGTGGGGGAGAAGGAGGCTTCTCACATAGCAACTCCCTAGGGGTGACCAAGGGCCTTGGTGGTCAGCAGGCCCTTCTGGGGCAGGGACTGAGTCTCATCTTGCTACTTCTCACAGCTCCTGGCTGCTTCCCCAATACAATGCTGGGGCAGAGAGAGCTCTCCATGGTTTCCAGTCTTGACCCCATGTTAAGAAGCTTGCTGTGTGCGCAGATGAACACACACACGCATGTGCGCACATACCACCTCCCCTTCACATACACTCTCTGACTGAGCAGGACTAAAACTTCGGTCCAAGTCCATCATGCCCAGAGTCCCAGAGTTGTGGGTGGGGTGCAGGGGAGGGGTTGTCACTGCAGAAGATAGTAAAGGGCACCCTCAGACTCCTTGCCCCACTTACGCCTTCTTGCGCTCTGACTTCTCCCTCGGTTTCTCAGGGGCCTCCTGAACTTCGGGCTGTCTGGTGGCCTGGTTCTTGCTAAGGAAGAGGACATGCTGGGTCTCCTGCTCCATGCGCTGGATATAGGCCCTGTCTGACTCCCACTTCTTCCGCTTGAACTTGGGGACAGCGATGTCTGGCTCCACCCCTTTGGCCTCCTTCTCCAGCGTCTTTCTGAAGGCCACCTGGGCTGAGGGCAAAGGGAGAATTCAGAGACAGCAATGATAACAAGGCAGGCTACCCACTCCCATATCCCGTCTCAGGACCAAGCAAGCCCTGGTCTAAGCAGCCTGCACTTTCCATGAGCAGAAGGCTCCCTGGCCTGCACTGGAATCTCTCAAAGTACATCAGAACTGGCCGCACCTGCTTAAAACCTCCTCGGGGTGTCCACTATTTCTAGAGGAACAATCAACACTCATAGCTCGGTGTGCTACTTTCCCAACTGAATCTGGAATCACACTGGAATCATCTGTTGCCCATCACCTGGGGGTCCTTCACACCCAGCACCCTTGGACCACTGGATCTTTGCCTGATACTCCATCAAACACTTGGGTAACGAAGTGGATCTGAGTGGACCAAGCTTTGCAGCCACTCCTGCATGCTACCTTCTTTCTTCCGCTTCTTGTTACTTAGGGGGGTTTTCATCTGCTGGCGGCTCCGCATGATCTCACGCAGCCGGAAAGGGATCTCCTGCTCATCCTGGTTCTTGGGCTTGCAATTCACTTTCTTCTTTTCTTTGCTGGGGAGGAGGACGTGGGTGAGATGGGTCAGAGCAGGCTGTCTGCTCCTGAACTGGTTTCTCATAGGACCGCCCCCACCCCATAAATAAATCCCAACGCTATGGAGTCGATTCCAACTCCCAGTGACTCTATCTAGGGTGTCTGAGACTGTAAAGCTTTACAAGAACAGACGGCCTCCTAGGTCTCATGGGAACAGCTGGTGGGTTTGAACCGCTCACCTTGCTGTTAGTAAGGTGAAAGAGTCCCCTACAACGCCTCGGGACCGCATTCAAATGCGCATTTGGACGTGGCCGATTGAAGAATGGTGACTCCCTCTTCCACTCTACCCAACTACCCCGCCCTAGGGTCCTGGGCTCGGACAGAAGGGGCGACCTGGGGATGCGTGTATGAGGCAGAGCTCTCTGGGGGTCAGGCGCGAGGCGGGGACAGCTGCTGAAGGCACCCACCTGCGGTGCCCCGGACACGGATCCGGACGCTGTTTCCCCCCCGGCTTCTGCTGCTGCCGACGCCGTCCCTGTGGCCGCCCGGAGCCCCCGAACCCCGACGCACGGTGTTCAGGACGCGCCATCAAACACGCCGATCTCCCTTGGCGAAGCCACTTCCGCCCTTCCATGTGGTCCCGCCTATAACCCCACTTCCGCTTCCTGTGCTTAGCCCCAAGATCATTGGAGCAGCGCGGCGCCCTGCCCGATCGGGATTGGCCGGGAGTCCAATTCTCTCGGTGGGCTGGGGCCTGCGAGCGATGCTGCTGCGGAGCTTGACCGCGGGCGGCCGAGTGATGGTCGCCACAACTCGCCGCTCGGCAAGTATCGGGCGGGGTCTCGAGGCACGACCGGAGCAGAGTCCGAGGCAGGGGTTTCGGCGCGGCCCACCCGGGCTCAGGGAACTCAAGTGGCCAGAGTCCGGAGCTCGGCGCGGTCGAGTCCTGACCTCGAGGCCGGGAGGCCTCCGGGCACCTGTCTTTCCCAACACGCTCTTCGGGTTCCGGAGCGCTTCCCGATCTTGAAGCTCCTGGTGTAGGGGTCTTGGACAAGGGCCCCTAAAGGTCCCTTTAGTGGAGGAAGTACCGGTCTCCTTCGGGCAGGGACTAGGGGGTCGCAGAGCTGTCTCCCAGTGCTGGAGACCCGCCCCAACTCTGAGGGGTGTACTCACCACCCTGGACAGAGACAGCTCTCCGGTAGGGACAACTTAGGTTTACTGAGCACGTTTGATTACCCAAGAAGCACCTATGAGCGCCTACTGTGTGCGAGCCCTGCTCGGCGCTGTGAACTAGAAGCTTCTGGCAGGAGGAGCCAAACAGACTGGAATGAGGGCCCAGGAGCTGGGGGCTGCGGCCCATCCTGGTTGGAGAGGAAGCCCACTCGCCCCCCCATGCACTCACAGTAACCTAGACTTTGCTTTGTTGTTAAGTGCCTGTATCGGGTTTCATAGGAGCGGCAGGTGAGCTTGAACCACCACCCTGGCCGTTCCTATGGAACTTGCAGTCCAGCGCATTAACCCGCAGCAGCACCACACCTAGACTTTACAGAGGGGAAAACAGCCTGAACTCGGTGCCATGGCGTCAGTTTCCATTCTTAGTGACCTTAGAGGATGGAGTCGAACTACCAGAAAGGGTGTCCAAGTTTGTAAACCTTTAGGGAAGTTATTGACCCATCCTTCTGTGTGGAGAGTGGCTGGTTTGCTGTGGTGTGGTGCTGGTGGTTCAAATTCACCAGCCGTTCCTCGGAAAGCCTAGAGTCGAACCCGACTCTACAGCACTTACCCCGCCACCACCACATTTTAGTTAGCATCACGGCGTTAGCATTTTACCCACTGGGCCTCTGGTCTTAGAGATGGGCTGTGGAGTCGCTTCTGACTCATAGCAACCCTGTATAGGGTTTCCCAGGCTACAGGGGCAGAAAGCCTCATCTTTCGCCTGCGGAACGACTGGTAGTTTCGAACTGCTGACAGTGAGATTAGCAGCCTGACTTGTAACCACTATGCTCGCAGTACTCCTTATTGGGCCGCTAGGGGTCTATAAGTTTAATACCAAACCCCAACCCCCTGACTTACAGAAACCCTGTAGGCCAGAGTACAATGGCTGCTCTGTGTCTCTGCACCCTTAGGGGACACAGCGCCTCTCCAGCCTGCACTGGTGCCGAGGGCTCCCGAGAAGTGGCAACGACAACCTTCTCAGGCACTTGGCTGCGGTCTGGGTCTGCGATGGCCGGCGAGCATTTGGAAAGGATTACAAGGAAGAGGGTCCCCAGGCAGGTGCAGATGGCAGCATGCAACCCGAGTCTTCCCTGCCCAGTGGGGGCCCTGCAGAGTCCCCGTACCCCCCACCACCTGAGCTCCTGCCCCCCACAAACTGCTGCATGAGCGGCTGCCCTAACTGTGTGTGGGTGGCGTATGCTGAGGCTCTGCTCCAGCACTACCAGGATGGCGGGGAGCGGGCTCTGTCCGCCCTGGAGATGCACGTGACTGACGAGACCCTCAAGGCCTTCATCCGGATGGAGATACAGCTGAGCATGCGCCGTGGCGGCTGAGCCGGTGGACCCACCCCACGGAGACCCGGCCTGGCAGCTGGAGGATATGTTGACGAGCTGGAAATAAATGCATGCTGTGTGCGTGCGGTTAACCGGACAGTTTTGTGCTGGTTTCTGGGCCATCAGGCCAGCCAGATCAGCCTGATTACTGAGGGCCTATTTCCACAAGGAGCTCTGGTAGTGTAGTGGTTACTAATCGGGCTGCGAACCGCAAGGGCAGCAGTTTGAAACTACCAGCTGTTCCACGGGAGAAAGATGAGGCTTTCTGCTCTTGTCAAGATTTACAGCCTCGGAAAGCCTGTACAGGTCGCTATGAGTCGGAAGCGACTCCACGGCACTTACCCACCACTACCACTTCCACAACAACCAGGAAGGGACAGTCAGGCCCACTTCCTTTACAGACAGCCCCCAACCCCACCTCTGAGGTCAGTTCTGGTCACCTTTAGCTGCAGGAGCAAAGTGGCTGTTAGCAAAACCTTGACAGTGTGACCATCGCCTAGCCTCGGGCCGCCCAGCCGCACCCGTTCACCACTAGGGAGGGTCCTGCGCATGGAAATCCAAAGCTTCCTGCTTCTTTGGTGAAAAGGTGAAAATCACCTATCTCGAACATCAGTTTGGAGTATTTGTAGTTCTATCTAGGGAGTCCTAGTGTGGCTGGCGCTGGACTGCAAAAGCTGCTTTGAACTGCATGGTTGGCAGTTCAAGCTCACCAGCTGCTCCTCAGAAACCCTATACAGGGTGGCTTTGGGTAGGAATCTTAATATCTACTTCCACATGCCTGTTCGTAGTCCTGGTGTGGCGCTGTGGGTTAATGTACCAGACTGTAAAACCGTTTGAACTGCAAGGTCAGTGGTTCAAGCTCACCAGCTGCTCCTCGGAAACCCTATACAGGGTCGCTCTGGGTCGGCACCGACTCAACGGCCCTTCACAACAATGGCTGTTCAGCTGCTCTAGTTGTCTCTCCAACTGTAGCTAAACAAAGGCTTGGAATCAGGTACTGTAATCTCTTCCCTCTTACGTTTCTTGTTTCAAAGTTGCTTTGGCCATTTAGTGACCTTCTGTGTGTCCCTATAAATATTTGTTATCGTTATGTGCCGAGTCGGTTCCGACCCATAGTAACCCTGTATAAGGTTTCCAAGGAGTGGCTGGTGAGCTTGAACTGTCAGCCTTGCAGCTCAAACCAAGTTTGCAGTCCAGCACATTAACTCACAGCACTGCACTGGACTTCCTATAAATATTGTTAAGTGCTGTCGAGTCAGTTCCAACCCATAGCGACCCTGTATAGGGTTTCTAAGTTGACACATATTTTGGAACGGACACAATTCAATTGATGACAGATGTTACATAAGAACATTGTCATGGTTACTTAAATGCTTTATGTGTTGTTGGACTCAGAGACCTTATGCACAAGAGAACAAAACAATGTCCTGTCCTTTGCCAGTCTCAAAATCGTTGCTACGCTTCAGCCCTTTGCTACTGCCACTGTGCCAATCCATCTCGTTGGGGGTCTTCCTCTTTTTCTGACCCTCCACTTTACCAAGTATGATGTTCTTCTCCAGGGACTGGTCCCTCCTGATAGGTCTGAAGTATGAGACGTGAAGTCTAGTCAGCTTGTCTTCCAAGGAGCACTCTGTCCTTCTGGCAGTCCCCGGTACTTTTAATATTCTCCAACACCATCATTCAAAGGCATCAATTCTTCTGCAGTTTTTTCCTAATTCATTGTCCAACTTTCACATGCATGTGAAGCTAAGGTATGGTTTGGGTCAGGCACACCTTAGTCCTCAAACTGACCTCTTTGCTCTTGAACACTTTCTTGCGCAGCAGATTTGCCTGACACGATACATCATTTGATTTCTTGACTGCTGTCTCCATGAGTGTTGATGGTCGGTTTGAGCAAAATGAAGTCTTTGACAATGTCAATCTCTCCGTTTATATGGATGTTATTTATTGGTCCACTGGTGGATTTTTGTTTCCTTTACATTGAAGTGCAACTCATACTGAAGGGTGTGGTCTTTGATCTTCATCAGTATTTTAAGTCCACTTTGCTTTTAGCAAGCAAGGTTGTACCATCTTCATATCACAGGTTAATGAGTCTTCCTCCAATCCTGATACCATGTTCTTCTCCATATAATGCAATTTCTCAGATTAATTGCTCAGAGTACCGATTGAGTAAATATGTACAGATTGAATAAGTATGGTGAACGAATACAACCTTTCCTGATTTTAACCCAGTCAGTGTCCCTAGTTCTATTCAAACCACTGCCTCTTGGTCTATGTATACAATCTTTCTGAGTGAAATTAGGTGTTCTGGAATATTTATTCTCTGCAGTGTTGTCCATAGCTTATAATAACCCACACAATCAAAAAACTTTGTGTAGTTAATAAAGCACAGGTAAAAATCTGTTTATGTAGTTGGTTAAAATGTGTGTCTGATTTTTAAATGAAATAGTTTTTGATCCTGTAAACCTCATCAGTGAAATTATGTGGGCCTGAAGCTTTCCTTGTAGGATGTTTTTAAAACTTCAAATTTTAAGTTAAGATTTAGGGTAAGACTGACTATTTCTTCTTAAAGTGACCTGTGATAGTTTGTGTTTTTCAAATAACTGGTCCATTTCACGTCACTTCTTGAATTTATTGGCATGAAGTTACACACTGTATTTCGTTGGAAACCACCGAGTGAGTGTCTGTGGGCTCTGTAGTGATGCGGTCTCTCATCCCAGGTCTTTCCTCTTTGACCTGATCAATGCTGATGGCCTGAAACTATCCACCAAACCGGAGCATGAGAGGAAGTGTCCAAGACAACAATGGACACATCACCTCATACTGTGGCAGTATGTGGGTTTTAGGGTTTTAGAGTTCTACTGGAACGTGTGGGGTTGAGTGGGATGTAAGGACTGAGTGAATGGAACAATTGACATGAAAACAAAAAACCAAAAAACCAACCTATCTGAAAGGGAAAGAAAGCCCTTGCAGCTGGGACAGGGCTCGCCAGGTCACATGGTCACAGTAGTGTGGACACTACACCGAGTTACAACAGCATGGAGGAGGTGGACACACATTGTCGTCCACTGTCCAGCTCGGCGCCCTCGCGTCCCATGGAATAGCACTGGGGCAGCTTGCTGAGCGCAGTGAGGTGAAGCTCAGCTGTGAGAGAGGGCTGGACCCAGGTTTGCTGTACCCTACCAGGCTGGTGGCACAACGGATCTTTTAACCTCAGTATTCAATATGCTTAGTATGTGTGGGGTAAAATCATTGATCTGTTTGTAAAAACAATGAAAATTAAAACTCTCTAAGGCACAGGGGCACTTGAGCCTTTCGTGTTACGTGTCCTTTCGTGTTACGTGTCCTTTCGTGTAGCGTGTCCTTTCATGTTGTGTGTGCTTGTTTGACATCACTAGAGTCAGCAGTGTCCTTCTGCAGAGGTGCTAATGAACTGGCCTCATCACCTTCCTAGGCCCTCCTTCCCTTCTGTGAGCCCCTCAGAACTGGCACTGGGCATCTGCCTCTGGTTTCTGACTGATACCACGCCGCCACCTGCCATCAGTCTGGAGTTTGGGAGTCCAGCTTTCCGCCCTGCTGGGTCCAAGATGTGTTCCTGTTCCCACAGGGAAGGAGACGGCAGACCTCCAGGGAGTGACCCAAGGATGGGGGCACGATAAGCCACCCAGTGGCCTGTCCTCTCCCAGTCCCGGAGAGGGTCTCTCCAGGACCATCACTCCAAGGCCAGGTGTCTGTAATGTGGGTGCCTCAGTTGACCTGTCATTGAAACTCAGCACAGAACTGTCTTCTCACATGGATCATTGTGCTCCAACAAGAACCCACCCTGAAGCCTGGCAGTGACTCCTCACCCCACCCCTGACTCAGGGACCCCTCACGTCACCCCACGTGGCTTCAGTGGCTGGCTCTGTGGGTGTCCCGGAGCCAGCGCAGCACCCCTGCCAAGCCAGTGCCTTCCCGGGCGCTGATCTCCGCCGTGGTGATGCTCTGCTTGGCACAGGCAATGATGTCTGGGAGCCTCATTAACGACTTCATCTCCTCCACGGTCATGTAACAGGGCAGGTCGCTGGGATGAAAGACACACCTGTCAGATGGCAGCTTCCCCAGACCTACCTAGAACCCCAGCCAGACCCAGTCCCTACAGAGCCGTTGGAGGCTCTGCCCTAGGGCGCCCTGCCTCCCTCGGCTCACAGACCCTCCCTCACGTTTTATTGAAGAGTATCAGGACCGAGGCTTCTGCAAGTTGCTCTGCGGAAAGGAGACCCAGGAGGTGCGCACAGGATGCAGAGAGCTGTGTGGGGTTGGACGCGTCCAGCACGAACTGGAGGAGGAAGACGGTGAGGTGAGGTCAGGAACAGCCACAGGGGGGATCCTTTGGACCCAGAGCTTCCTCCAGAGAAACAACACTCCTAACCAAGGGCTCTGGGGACAGGGAGTAGGGTCGTGTGGGGTGACTTGGTGACCTTCGTCTGTCTCCCCTCCACTCGTGTGGCCATCATTTCTCCAAGGAAGAGTCTGAAACGTGGGGCCCCGGCCTTACCAGGATGGGACCAAGCAGAGGGATGCAGACGTCACACATGAACATACAGATCGGGGGGGTGAGGGGTGGGAAGTGGGGGGGAGGATAGAGGGGCTGGGGCAGCTGTCTGCAGACTACCAACGCTGCCCTGGGGCCAGGCTCCAGCCCAGGGGAGACCAGGCTTTAATCTGAGAAGGAGGCGACTTCCCCACGGCCCCATCTTCCTGCATAGCATGGTCATCAAAGAACCCACACCTGTCCTGAGCAAAGCCAGGCCCTGGGCTAGCAGGGTGGAACATCCCGGGGTTAGGACACACCAGGAGAGCGCGGCAGTTTCCGTAGTAACTGGGCCAGATGGGACCCATGCACCCCCCCAGCTCCCTGATGGTGAGTTGTCTGTTGACCATGATGTCGGTGAGGTCAGTGCCCACCTGTGGGAAAAGCAGAGACAGTGAGGAGGAGCCAAGATGGCCACTCTGTGAGTCACACCACTGCGGGACAGCAGTGGTGTGACTTGAGCGCCACCCCAGGACTCCAGAGGAGTAGCTTATGTCTGATTAAATTCTAGAAGAGGATACAAAAAAAAGGACAGCAAGAATTTTTTTAAGTTTTGCTGAGAGAAAACGTCCAGACAAGTAGTTAAATAAAAGCTATATAGTCCTAGTGTGGCACTGTGGGTTAACGTGCCAGACTGCAAAGCTGTTTGAACTGCAAGGTCAGTGGTTCAAGCTCACCAGCTGTTCCTTGGAAACCCTATATAGGGTTGCTATGGGTCAGAACTGACTTGATGGCACTTTAACAACAATATAGGATAGAGCCCAAAAGAAAATCACTAAGACGCACCATAATCAAACTTTCCAAAACCAAAGACAATTTGGAAAGCAGCTTGGGCAAAACTAAATCTTATAAGCAAGGGGACAATAAGCCAGTTCTGATTCCTTGGCAAAAATTCCGTAGGCAACAGGATGCCAAACTCTGAAGGAAACCAGCGCCGACTGTGCTAGGTAAGGTTGGGTGTTAGCCTGGCCAGACTCTGATCCTCAGTGGTCTAGCAGTTAGGAGGTAGGTAGCCCCCACTATGAAATCTCACACAATGAGATCTGCTACAAGCCTTCAATCAATTGAAAGAAAGATTCCTCAGGGGTGTGGCCTGCTTCGAACATACTGGACACACAGGCCACGCTTGCTGCTCTTTGGTACACCTGGGTCCTGTATTGGGCTCTTCACTGACGTCCAGTCCTCTGGACTCGAGTCATTTATAGGGTCAGAGCTCTTGTTGACTGGTGGCGGGGTCGGGTCCATATGAGGAAGGATCCCACTACACTGACGTTTTTATTGTAAATCTTTCTCCTAGAGCTCTACAGCCTTTTTTTTTTTTTTAAACAAGAGTGACTGTTCATTCAGAAGAAAGAAAAGAATCCGATGGTCTAGGCACTGCTGGACCCTGGCTCTGAAGGGACACTAATTCCAGGAGACCCAAATCACTGCTGTGGTCCAGCAACCAGGAGTGGGGGCGTATGGAGGTCCAGGTATGAGTCTTAGCTCAGATGGGTCTCTCAGTGGGCACAGTGCTTCCGGATTCCCTAGTTCCGGAATGCATAATTGTAATCGACGGACTCAGCACCTGATAGACCCCTTATATTAGGTCTCTGACATACTGACCAAAGGCTTCGACGGCAGGAAGCCAAATGAGGAAGCCGTTAGAATGGCCTCTACTGCATTCCTGGAGGGACTGCAATCTTCTGTGACATCCCAATTTATCTTGCTTATTTAAGCAACGACAAAACACCCCACAAAAAAAGAGAAGAGAAATATTTAAATGGAAAACCACACGAGGTTCATGGACAGGAAGACTTACCAGTGTGAAAATGTCAGTATTACCCCAAGCCGTCTATAGACATTAGGCCCTCTCGACTCAGATTTAAGGTATGGTTAACACTGTGGCTTCTAGCTGGTGTCTTTGATTGTCGCACAATGATTGGGTTGTTGTTAGGTGCCACAGAGTCGGTGTAACTCTTACCAACCCTGGATAGGCTTTCCGAGCAGTGGCTGGTAGGGTTGAATCATAAGATCTGTTCTGACTCTTTAGTGGAGTACTTATCTCACAGTGCTCACCAGGACTCCAAGAAGTGGGTGGTTGTTGTTGTCATGTGCCGTGGAGTTGGTCCCAACTCATAGTGACCCTGCACAGGGGTTTCCGAGGCTGTAAATCTTCACAGGAGCAAAAAGCCTCATCTTTCTCCGCAGAACAGCTGGTAGTTTTGAACTGCTGACCTAAGGTTAGCAGCCCGATTCATAACTACTACGCTACCAGAGCTCAAGTGCTATGGCCTACCAAGGGGCCTGGACAATTTGCTACTAATGCAAATAAGGTGTATGGAAGCTGTACTGGTTAGGGTTGTACGTCAACTTGACTGGGCCAGGTCTGACGGGTTTCTAATTATGTATTTGGGCAGTTATGTAACAATATTATCCTCTGTGTTGTGAGACGCCTTCATGCCTGCGTCCATTGTTGACTAAGACAGGATTAGGTGTGACGTATCTGGGTCACTGCTTTAGAGTGCGGCTCAAGTCACCACCCTTGCACCATCTGCTCAAAGAAGGGGTGTTTCCTCGAGGGTCTGTTCTGTACCTAATATATATGAATGTTCTGGCTATTTTCCTTCTGTTGCTCTGAATCCTGCACCTGGCATCATCTGACCTCAAGTTCTTAGTATTAGAAGTAGCAGCCTGTTGTCTAACCTGATTCGCCATATTACAAAACCTTGTGAGGCAGCAGCCCGAGAGCAGATGTGACAATTTGTATTCGTCACCCTGTGTAACCACGTGAGTCAAGAGAAGTCTCCAGACTAACACCTGACATGCAGATTTGGGACTTTCCACAACCAAGTGAATCATTTCCTTGATGGTTAGTGAATTCTGTGAGTCCTTGAAGCGAATGCATTACAGACCCCAACGACAGGGAAAGGACTGAGGGCAGGAGCAGTGGTTGATGTCAGAGGCGCTGGAGTGGTACAGCCCTTTGGAAAAGTTGGACATCTGAACCTTAGCTTTGTGCTGATCCTTGTAAAAGAAATTATTTATATAAAATTCCTTAAATAGAAAAACTCAGCTCCAACTTTATATGGAAAGGACCAACAACTATAGCATTATTGGAGAATAAAGTAGGAGGCTTTAAACTTCCAAATCTCAGAATCTACTATCCAGCCACAAGGAGCTCTGGTAGCGTAGTGGTTATGAGTCGGGCTGCTAACTTCAAAATCAGCACTGCAAAATTACCAGCCATTCCGTGGGAGAAACATGAGGCTTTCTGCTCCCATAAATATTTACAGCCCCAGAAACCCTATGCAGGGTCGCTAAGTCGGAACCCACTCTGTGGCTCACCACTATCCAACCACAGTAAAAAAAACAGCCTGCCATTGGAACCACAGACCCAGAGACATACACTGAAGACAATCAGAGACTCAAAGCAATTAGTCCAAAGAAATCACAGCCTCCAGCTTGAGACCAGAGCTAATGGGTGCCAGGCTACAGCAGCTAAATACTGCTCTGTGCACAGGCTCCTGGTTAGGAAGACTTAACAATGTGAAAATGTTAGTAGGTCCTGGTTAGAGTGGGAGAAAACTGTAGAACAAAATTCAAATTCATAAAACAGACCAGACGTACTGGTCTGATTCGAGACTGGAAGAACCCTGGAGAATATGGTCCTCAGTTCTTTCTAACCTGGGATGGAGCTACTCCCTGGGGTCACCTTGCAATCACACAGTAAACTGTGAGGAACAGGCTTCTGAGAACCATCAACTGTTAGGGTTCACTTTGCCCAAAAGCAAAGCTGAGACAGGCGGGTGGGGCAGGGAAATGGAGGCATGCGGGGATTCAGGATTTGCAACCAGTGTTAGAAAACAATCTGTGAATGAATGATGGAATGGGAAACCAGTTTGCTGTGTAAACATCCACCTGGTGGTGGTGATGTGCCGTGGAGTCAGTTCTGACTCATAGAGACCCTGTACAGGGTTTCCGAGGCTGTAAATCTTTACAGGAACAGAAAGCCTCATCTTTCTCCTGCGGAACAGCCGGTAGTTTCGAACTGCTGACCTTAAGGTTCGCAGCCCGATTAGTAAGCACTACGCCACCTAGCACACAACAAATTCTTAAAAAAGAAAAAGCAGAATCCCGGTGGACCAGGACCCGAACCGCCTGCTCTTAGGGGACTAATCCTGAGAAGAGTCGTGCACGGACAATGCTCATGGGGCGGGGGGCGTAGGTAGCCGCTGGAGGGCGCGCTCCCAGACACCCACTCGTCCCCAGAGTCAGGGGTCCTCCCAGAACGACATGCACGTGCCGGCAGCGGCACCTACCGTGGGCCGCGTCGGGGGAGGGTCCCCCAGGTCGCCCGTCCCATCGTGGACGCTCAGCTGTACGTGAGGTCAAGGAACAGAATGGAGCCGAGCGGAAAGACCCCGCGCCCCAAATCGCACCCCCACCCGCGGCCGGTGCGGAAGGATATTCTTCAGGCGTTTGATCAGCAACGTCTTACCGACGCCCGTGGCGCCCAACAGAAGACACATCGCGACGCCCCTCTGCCCTCCCAGCACCCGTAGTTCGGCACCCTGGAAACACGGGGCCCATCCTCCGCCTCGCTCTCTTTGGACAGGCCCTCTCGAGTCAGATCCAATCAACGTACAGTATTTGGGTGAGCTCGAAAAGGCCCCTCCTCCTCACCACGCCTGACCCTTCCGGATGACTGCGCGTGCGCACCCGTCAAGGACTGTGCTGGTTGTCTGGCATTGTCTGTCAGTTTCTTTGGGAGTTGTAGAGCTGGTCCTCCCGGGCTGTCCAGCGCTGTCACACGTCTTAGGAAGGACAGCGGGTGTTTATGTACACATCTTCCCTTCAGTGACAATACACTGTGACAATGCACTGCTGTTCCCTCGTGGTCAGCCCGGAACGCCCTCCACCCTCCTGGTCCACTGGGAGCCAGCACCCATGCCCACCAATTAAGGTGACTCCCATCACCTGCAACCATACACGTACACACACCAAGGGTAGCACTCTGCCCCTACGTCCACTAGGGGCGGATCCCCATGTTCCTGCAGCACGAGGGATGAATGAAGAATGAGGCCCATGAAGTGACTGTGGCCAGTCCACACAGACCTAGAGGGTCCTTTCCTGCCCAGAGGGTGGCTCTTCTGCTATTCTGGGCCCTTCCCCTCTGGCTCTGCTTTGGACCTTGGATGGAAGTTTTCCTCTTCTCCCTGTCACCCCATCCTCAGTGGGGCAGGGAAGACCCTGAAAACCTCATCCTCTTGGGTCAAGGAGAAGCCTCATAATCAGCTTAAGCTCCAAGCAGGATTACTCCCGGCCCAGTGCCCTGTGGCCCTGAGACCTTCCAGAGCGCTCAGTGAGTAGTGACTGCCCTGAAGGCTTTCCCTGGTCACTTACCCAGGTGGGAGTGGGCGGAAGGGGCAGACAAGGGGCCACCTGCACAAAGTGGGTTCAGGGGAGACTGGGGTCTGTGGAGGTCTGTCCTGTTCTTCCCTTGGAGAGGCTGCCCCAAGCAGCCAGCTCCCCGGCCGGCATCAGTGCTAGTCTGGAAGCCTGGGTTTCTGCTCGCGTGTGGGGCCAGCCCAGGACAGCCTGGGCAGTGAGTTCATTATTGTCTGATGGTTAGGACTCCATCAGGGCTGGAGCTGCCCCACCAGCTTGTGGCCACTGGGCTGGATCATAAGTTGGTCAGGTTTTGCCTTTGTGGGGTGAGGAGTGGGTGCTTCAAGGTCAGAACAACCATCTGCCTTGAACCGTGGGTGCTCTGATTTCCAAGCCCTGGCTTCTCCAGCTTGTTCAGGTCCTCAGGGATGGAAGACAACATGGCCAGGGCCCCTCCCTCCCCCCCCAGCCTTCCTCCCAAGAATGGACCATCTGTCATTGCTTCCATTTTCCTTAGCAAGCAGCTGCCACAGGGGCAGGAGAGGGGACCGCAGAGGTGATCTCTAGAGCACCAGGTGCCGGGGGCTGTTTGTGCTTAGCCTAGAATCTTCTGTATCAAGTCGTGTCTGGATGCTCCGGGTATATGAGGAGTCTCCCTCCAGTGCTAATAGGCTTAGGAGAAGCTGAGCTGCTTTGGGCCCCTGGGGAGAGGAGGACAAGTCATCTGTGCAGGCATAGGGCCATGGAGCTTGAGTGGGTGGGGAGCATACTGGGGCCAAGTGGTAATGGCAGGCTGGCCCTTAGTGAGACTGTTGTCCCTTCAGGCTGAGGGAGGGCAGGGCCTGGACCTAGTGTCCGGTTCAGTCCCACCTCATTCTCCCAGTAGTCTCGAGGTGGGTCAGGAGGGAAAGTAGATGGTACCTTCTACCTGCTCTGTCCCCAGCCCTGCGTGAGGGAATTTGGAAACACAGGCTTACCTCTCCTCACCATGAACTTGGAGCCACCAAAGACTGAGGTCTGGTCAGCCACCGGGGTGATGGGGGGACCTGTCACCCCCAGGAAAGGGCCCCCCAAATTCAAGCAGAGGCAAACCAGACAGTTCAAGAGCAAGCCCCCCAAGAAAGGCATCCAAGGGTAAGCATAGCTGGGGAAAGGGTGGGGCAGGGTCAACCACCGGGAGGCCAATGGGGGCGGGGTAGGTGGCCTCCCTGTGTAACCTAGGGGGACAGGGAAGGGCTGAGGTGGCCTTGTCGTGGTATATCCCATTCCCTACGATGGGGGCCAGAGGAGATGTATACACACATACACCAGAGCACATTCACTCACAGACACACACACACACTGATGTGTATACACACACACACTAGAACACATTCACTCACACACATACAGATGTACACACACACACACCCGAGTGTGCACACACACACAAGCTCTCATGTACCTCTGTGCCCACCTGTAGTCTTCCCCAGACCCCTGCAGTGTGTTTCTTTCCTTTTCCTCTGCACTTCAAATCAGTACACACACACACACACACACACACACACACACACATACTTTTACTTCTCCTCCTCGCATATACCTAATCAGAACCTATACTTTCCCATGGTGCCCCAGGGGATTCTCAGGGTTCCCACGGGGATCTTGTCTAAATGTAGATTGGGACTGAATAAAAGGGTGGACTCCATGAACTGGTTCATGCCCTGCTCAAGGAGGACTCTGGCCCTGGTCTCCTGGGTCAGGGCTGAGCACTGTGTCCCTGCAGGTTTGGTGACGACATCCCCGGCATGGAAGGCCTGGGGACAGGTATGATGCCATGCTCCCTGCCACCCTACCTCTCCGTGTCTGCCCCCATCCAAGTCCCACAGCCTGTAGGTCCAGTCCAGGGTTCACCCAGAGCCGGGCAGTGGGGGAGGGGCCTGAGAGAACAGGGAGCCCTCAATGCCCTTCTTCTTGCCAGCAGGGTCGTCCTTTTCAGAAGCTTAGAGGGTGGGCCCTAGCCCAAGACTTAGCTCTCACCTTCAGCAAATTGTGGGTCCCCACTTGGGCTGCAGACAGCTGGGCCTTGAGGGTGGAGGGCCCCTCGTCTGTGGTCCCCTACTGACTTCCAGCCTATCACTGTCATCTGCAGATATCACGGTCATCTGCCCATGGGAGGCCTTCAGCCACCTGGAGTTGCATGAGCTGGCTCAGTACGGCATCATCTAGTCCTGCCCCTGGTCTGCAGAGGAGGGCACACCTTATACCCCAGCCTCTACTGTAGTGGAACAGGGGGACAGCTTCCAGGACCCCACTGGGTCAGCATGCTCAGATGAAGGACTGGCAGGAGCCTGGGGTGTCAGCGAGAGAGCCCGGATCCTCCTCCACCTGTCCCCAGTGTGAAGGAGTCCTTCCAACATGGTCCCTGGGGCTGCATTCATTCTGAAATAAAATTAGCCGTGCTCCCTGGTCTGGGGCGTGTTTGTGAGCAGAACAGAGTCTCAGGAGAGCCACTGGCATGGACAGGATGCCAGGGGCTGGGCGCTGGGGCTGGAGGAGCTGGCCAGTGAGAAGGAAGGCAGCCTCTCAGCTCGTAAGAGCTCCCTGGGCTTCCCCCATGACACTTGGGACCCCATAATCAGACCCAGCACCCACCTAAATAACTCCCCAAGGGTTAGTCCGGGATCACTGGCATTAGGATAAGGTCCAATGGGAGTCGGGGGCAGAGAAGGCCTCATTGAAGGTGGCCCTGAGATGATGACTGGGCAGGGCCAGTAGGGGAACTGTCCACAGGCTCTGTACCTGGTGACCACATGTAACCAATGTTGTAGTGTCCACGGACAAAATGCCGAGAAGTGGGTGGCTGGAAATGACAGAGCTGTCAGAGGAAGGGGGGCTGGGAATCAGAACTTAGGGTGTCAGCAGAGCCCTACTCTTTTCGAAGGCTCTCGGGAGTCTCTGTCTGGTGGATCCGGCAAGGCTTGTGACAGCATCACTGGGGTCTGTCTCCCCTCTCCCTCTCTCTGTGTCTCCTCCTCTTATAAGGATGTCCATCTTTGGAGCAGGGCCCACCCTTGTCCAGAAAGACCTCCTCTTAACTAACGAATGGTACAAACAAGGTCAAATCCACAGGTACAGGGAAGAGGAGGTTAGGATTTCACATTTAAACCCCACACGCTCATCAGCAAGAAGTGGCTTTGCACACTGTGGTTTATTCAGAGACAGCAACGGAGCAAGACCCAATGGTAGAAGGCAGTGGGGTCAGAGTGGGGGCTCCCTGGAATTCCACAGGTGTGTACAAGGGGAGAATTCATCACACTGAATTTCTAAGATGGGGACAATGTACTGTCTCAATGTTACACACACACATACCCCGTAAAAGCACCCTAGCCCCAAGAGGCTGCCTCACACTGTACACCACAATGAACCAAAAAGGAAAGGGAGCTCTGGCAAGGGGAGGTG